ATCAAACCCAACAGCACACTCTCTGCCCTCTGACCTCCTGCTGGCACCTCCCCTTGGTCAGACCCAGCCCAAATCCAGGGGACGCGGAGCCTGTGCCGTCCACAGGCTCAGCCCCCAGGGTGTCAAGCAGAGTGTGGAGGGGCAAGCGACACGCATGGGTACAGACCATAACCTAGGCGTGATGGCAGAGATGCTCTCAGTGTTGGGAAGCAAATGGGGGTGGTGGCACGTGGGGCAGAGAAGAGCGAGCAGACCCCTGTCAAAGGCGGGAGCTGCGACCCGGCCCGTCATTGTGGCTGCGCAGCGGGGGGCGGGGGGGGGGGGGCGGGGGCTGGTCCTGCCAGGGGCTCGTCCTGCCAGGGGCTCTGAACTTTGAAGAGCAGCGGGTGATCCAGGTTTTGAAAATATGAAATTTCAAGACTTAAAGATATGGGCAACTAATTGAAAAAAGCTTTTAAAGCACAGTGCGGGCCCAATAAATCCCATTTGCAAACCAGATTTGGCCAGGGGCTGCTCTAAACAGAAGCTAATTTGAGGCCTTTGCATTCCAAATCCCCAGAGGGAGAGACTTCATTCACTCATTCAATATTTGTTGAGGGCCTACTGTGTGCCAGGCTTCGCTCGGTGCTGAGGCAGAGCAACAAATAGGCAGACGTGAGGTTTATCTTCAGGTGGGGGAGAAAATAGTTGATAAAAAAATAGATAAATAATCATAATTCATAATTCCATATAGTAATAGACAAAATAGGGTAAAGGAACAAAGAATGATGGAGGTGGTGGTGGGGGCAATGGGATGTTCCTTTAAATAGGTCAGAAAACACATGTCTGAGTGATGTGAAATGACAGAGAATGTTTGTTGATTGACTTAAAGACATTATGCTGATTTCCAGCTTCATTACTGCAGAAGTAGATAAGCTGATTGTTGGTAATCAGTGTGAATTATGTAAGATTTCTTCCACAAACATTTTAAGGTTTTCTGGTTTGTTTCTCTGTGTTGAATTTTACCATTTTTTAAAGAAGTGACCCAAAGGGCACATTCAATGGTCCATTCAGAACCGGGCTAGACATTCCTCTGAATTAGCTCCTATTCCTCCCAGAGAGCTGTCAGGGCAGCTGAAAGAGAGAACCGGCAGCCGTGTCCCCGCTCTGTCTGTGACCTCCCCACGCTGCTCAGCTGCCGGGAGCCTCGGGGGTCCCATCAATGTCGGAAAAGTGCTTTGGGTCCCCCGCTGAAAGCCAGCGGGCAAGGCGGCGCGTGATGATCTGGTTTCTGCCACATCCTCACTCAGTGAGCGGAGAGGCCCTCAGAGCAGCCCGAGCCTTCTCCTTCGGCATGACAGGCTACTGTCAACGTTAACGGAGGGAGAGGAGACCGGCAGAGGCAGGGGGAGAGCGGAGGATGGACGGAGGGGGCTCTCCCGGCCATTGGCTGAGGACGGGTCACACGCGGGTCAGCGCCCTCCGGGGCCTTTGCCCCATCACGGTTCTATGCTGCTGGCGACAGCAGCATCTCAGGGTCCACTCTGGTCAGGCCCATTTCCCTTATTCACATCAGAACACGGCTTTGTGACACCCCGGGGGCCTCCCCTAGGCTCTCCGGGGAGGTCAGCAGCGTCACGAGGAGGTGGACTCTGGCTGGAGCAGATGATAACAATGACAGCTTCGGTTTACCGCGCCCCGCCCGCTGACTCCTCACCAGCCCGACTGGGAATGATTATCCCATTTTACAGATGGGGAAACTGAGGCTCGGAGAGGGTAAGTGATATGCCTAGGAAAGGGGAGGAGCCGGGATTTGAACTCAGCTCTATCTGGACTCTGCAGAATCTGTTGCTTCTCCTTTAAAAATGTACCCAGAACCTGCCCACTTTTCCCCTCCCCACTGCTATTCCTTGCTCCAACCACTACGAGGTCTCTCCTGGACTGTCGCCGTGGCCTCCTCCCTGGTCTCCCTGGTTATGTCCTCCCCCCAGAGTCTGTTAACCCAGGAGCCCCAGGGATGCTAAGTCCCTCCCCTGCTTCAGACTCTTCTGTGGCTCCCACCTTATCACAGCAAAAGCCAAAATCCGCACCCTGGCTTACAAGCCCCATGTAGTCCCTTTTTGTCCTCGTCTCCTGCTATTTGTCCTCTTGCTCACTGCACTTCTGTCACATGCGCCTCCTTGCTCTTTCTTTATCACACCAAGCATGCTCCTACCCCAGGGCCTTTGCACTGGCTGTTCCCTCTGCCTAGAATACACTTCCTCAAATATCCACATCGGCTTTGTTTCAAGTCTTTGCTTGAAGTCACCTCATCGATCTTCTTCTGACAACCTTTCTAAAAATTGCAATCCTTTCCCACTACCCCACCACCCCTGATTCTTCCTGCTTTCTGTTTTCCTTCCTGGCACTTCTCATTATCTAACATACTCTGCTACTTAGTTATTTTGTGTTCTTCCCCCTTCCCCACCAGGATGTCAGCAACACGAAGGCAAGACCTTTTGTCTGTCATGCTCTCTGCTGCATCCCCGGCATCGAGAACAGTGCCTGGCACATAGTAGGTACTCAGTAAATATTTGTTGAATGAATGACTCCAAAGCTATTGTTCTGTCTACCACACATACTACCTTCCCGGACTGGCTCCTTGTCTATAAGAATTCCATGTCCGTGGGGCCAGCCCAGTGGCGCAGTGGTTGAGTGCGCAAGTCCTGCTTCGGTGGCCTGGGATTCTTGGGTTTGCCAGTTCGGATCCTGGGTGTGGACATGGCACCACGTGGCAAGCCATGCTGTGGTAGGCATCCCACGTATAAAGTAGAGGAAGATGGGCACGGATGTTAGCTCAGGGCCAGTCTTCCTCAGCAAAAAGAGGAGGATTGGCAGCAGATGTTAGCTCAGGGCTAATCTTCCTCAAGAAAAAAAAAAGAAGAAAAGAAAAGAATTCCACATCCCTGACAACACTTGCTCTAGTCAGATGTTTCCATTTTCTCCAGCGTATGGGTATAAAGTAGTCTCTCATGGTGGTTTTTGCGTGCATTTCTTGATATGCCCGGGCACTCAGGTGTTCACGCGTCCGAGGGGCAGTATGTCTGTGTCCCCCCGGCTGGAAGTCCAGAGTGCAACGCAGACCATCCCTGGCATTTCTCGAGAAAATGGGAAATAGATCTTTGTTTTGGGTTCTAATAGGACAAACGGCTCCTGTAAAACAAAAGTCGGCATCTGCTCCGCACACCGAGTTTAGTATTTCGGGATAATTTAAACCCCAGGAAAAGGCAGAGTTATTAATAAACGGTGGGGGGGAAGTGTGAAGAGAGAGTATGGAAATCTTCAATTGAAAAAGCGAAATAGTTAGCATCCAAAATGAGACCCTGCTTAGCATTCCGTTCTGCTCATTTGCAAATTAAGAGACGTATTGTTTTAGAAATAATGAAGTCTAATTTTGCATGTTTGGGAGATGGCTCTCCACTGGCTTAAAGTCTTTATTTATTTGCAATGCTCTGAATACAGATTAATCTTTATTGCTAAACTAAGAGTTTGCTGCTTTATGCACTCTCAAATGCAAAGCTGCTATTGCTAGAGGAGTGATGTCTGGGGTCCTCGGGAGTTCTATCTGGGGTCCGCTGTAGACCCCAGAATTCCTGTCATTCAGAGCAAGGATCTTAGCAACCATGGAGTCCAGTTTTCTTGATTTTCCATGTAAGGAAATAGAGGCCCAGAGAGGTGAAGGGACTTGTCTGAGGCCACACAGCAAATCAGTGGCAGAACTGGGATTAGAACGCAGGCCTCTTGCAGCTTCAGCGGTTGTATTTCCCACTAGACCTGTGTGTCCCCTGCTTCAGTGGCGCTTTTAACGCATCCACGTACCACCTGGACTATTGTTTAGTTACTGTTTTTTGCCTGAAATCAATTCACTTTGAAAAGTGTAAAGACATTTATTTAAAAGGAAAACACATCACAAGTGTAAATCGAAATCTTATTACTTACCAAAATAAAGAGTAAATGAAAATTAATACGAGGCCAACAAAACAATGTTACTATGCCATTGTGATGGATAAGACAGCAACTCACCTTTGCACCTAGGTGAGGCCCCTGTAGATGTCTAAGGGGAAGCATCCGATAGCAGCTTCCAGGAAACTTCCTTAAAAGACAGCTGTTTGGCCTCTTTGCTTTTATTTCTTCATCTCTTCCTCTTTCCTGTTGGTTGGAATTTGGATGTGATGGCTAGAATTAGGCAGCCACAGTGGATAATGAGGTAATCATGCAAATGGAGTCTATATATCATAGAGCAACAAGATGGAAGGAACCTCTGGATTTTTTTTGTAAAAGAGACATAAGCTTCCATCTCGTGAAAAGTTCCTGTTATGTGGGGTCTTTGCTGTTTGTAGTCAAAGTTCATCCTGATACAAAAGGAGGACAAGTGAATTCTGGATTAGGAATTAAAAGACCTGGGTTCTAGTTCCATTTCTCCAACTCATATTCCACGCAGATTTGGGGGTGAAAAAAGAAACAGTCTCTGCTTTGCAATCCCCAGCACCTATTTTAAGCTTCCAACGAGGTTCGCCCCTTGGGAACTCTCAGTTCTGCTCAGAGCTCTGTGTGTTTCTATTCCCAGGCAGTGGTGGGGGCAGGGGGCCCAGAGAAGGAACAGGTGGGGCCTGGTTTCTGCCTGAGTTTATCTCAAGTGTTACCCCGCAGAGTAGGTGATCGACGTACAAATGGGGCCCAGAGGAGCGAGAGCTGCGTTAGAGGGACAGCAGTCCTTACTGGCTGCTAAAGAGCATCACACAGGGAGCCTGTCTGTCCTTAAACCACCTTATCTTCTTCCTGCTGAACCACGCCGAGCACGGATGCAGGAAGGCACAAACTGCCCGCTCCTCTCTTCCCCTCATAACAGCCTCAGCAGCTGCACAGTGGTTATGTATTTTCAAGAAAGCATTTAAAACCTCTCAGAATTTAGCAACAATCTCCACGAATCCTCATCACTGGAATCCTTTGTTACCATGGCAACATTCCACCCTTCCCTCCCCCCCAGCCCCCTCCCCCCATCTTGCCTGTTTACCCGGAAACTGACACTGGTTATGGTGAAGGATAGGAAAAAATTTGCGAGGGACTTCCAAGGGCAGAGAAGCGTGAAACATCTCCCCAGAAAATAGGTATTTTTCCATTACTGGGATAAGTGTGTTTTACTCTCCTGTTTTATCGAGGATAGGTGACTGTTGTTACGGGTGGGGGTGAGAGGAAGATCGATGCTGAAGTAAAGCTAAAACGATCCCTTTTGTCACATCCTGTAGCTGATTTTTAACAGCCAGTGTTGCTGCATTGAAAATGTGGTCAGGAGCAATCCAGAAGTCTTAAACCATTGCTACCATTTGACCCACTTCTTGCAGTTTTCAAAAACACTCCGAGAAAACCCTTTAGAAGGAACGTCGGTCTGTGCAGAGGTATTCGCAGCAGGCTGCAAGGAATGGAAAGAGCCGAGAAACAACCCGTGCCTGACGTGAAGGGAGTGGTTATGCGAAGCCATCAGAGTGTGACACGCCGTAGTCTTTCGTAGTCCTTACAAATGACACGTAGGGCAAGGCTGTACGTCTACCGGTTCAGAGGAATAACGCTAAGCAAGTCGAGCCAAGCACAGACGGTCCCCGTGGTCATGGGCACTCTGGTTGTACGCACCTTAAGCAAGACTGGAGAGACTCTGAGATTCTGGACTCCTTTTGCGTCTATGACATTTTTTAGAATCTGAGAATGCCTTGGACCATCTCCCCAGGAAAATCCCAGACATACAACATTTTGCATACACTTCTAGGAGATTTGTTAGTCCCTGGATGTCTGTTCAAGGTCCATCAACTCCAGGTTGAAAGCATAATGTTCATTTAGTTCAATCTTGGTCGTTAAGTTATTTAATTCCATTAAAAAGCTAAAACCCAAACTAAAACCTGTTCAGCGATTTCTGGTGTACTGCACGTTTGCTGTCTGTTCCCCCACTAGAATGCAAGCGTCATGAAAGCAAGAGTTTGGATGGGCTTGTTTACTGTCTGTATCTCCAGGACCCAGAGCAGCGTGGGTTCCAGGAGTGACTACTCAGCATTACCCGAAGGAAGGAATTATTTAACAGTATGTCCAAATGCAGAGGATTATTATTAGAATCGTGACTGTGCGGGAAGCGTCCATGATTTACTCACATTGCTGTACAGCGCGCAATACTCTCTTGTGTAAATACATCACAATTTATTCACCCTTTCTACTGCTGGTGGGCATCGGGGTTGTTTCCAGTTTGGCTGTTTTGTTGTGACTTTTTGCTGCTATGAGTGGGACCACCCTGAGCATTCCAGCACACGTCTTTTAGTGAAGAAATGGATGCATTTCTCTTTGGAAAGTGCCTCCCCATGGAATTGCTGGATTAGAGGGTATCTGTATGCGTAGTTCTAATAGATAGCGCTAAACGGTTTTCTGAAATGGTTGTACCAGTTTGCACTCCTGTCCAGGTAATTCTCCATCTCTGAGTCAACCACGTCATCCCATGGCCAGTATTCCCCGGAGAGCCGCTTGGGGACATAACCACCCCTGTCCTGCCCCCTCAGTACAGTTCCTTTCTTGGTCGTGACCCATTTCATTCTGCTCATGTGATTTAGCTCCTTGAGAAAGCTCCTCTCTTTGGACCACTTGCCTCGAAAACATTAGATGATAATGTTTGTTGAAACATGAGTGACTGATTCAAATCTTCTGGAACAAATCCCAAACATTCGCTCTTCTATTTTTAGTTTTGGGCCATGTGTTAAGCGGAAAACTCTGAGCCACTTAAAAATACTGAGTTAAAAGCACTTTGCCAGCTGAAAATGACCACCTCGCTCTGGTGCTCAGCTTCTGCCGCCATTGCTGCAAGTCAGGGAAAGGGTTTGCCCCCTGGAGTAGCACGACCAAAGGTAATTTCTGGAACTTGCCTCCAGAATTGGGTTTGGCTGCCACATGGAGTTCCAGTAACCTGCCAAGGTGAGTGATGAGGTTTGTTTCTATTGTGGATTATTTGCCAGAGATTAAATGTTTCAAACTTGTCATTAGTCACGGGCCCCAGCAGGCTTTGACGTCGTTAGGAGCAGCCTCCTACAAGAGCTTATTGAATTTCATCGAATTCCACAATCATAAATAAACACCCTCTTCTCCAATTCCCTCTCCGGGAACACCATCTTCATTCATAAAGCCAGAAACTTTGGTGCTATCCCTGACAGCCTTCTCTCCTCGATCCCCACATCCCATCCATTGCCAAGCCCTGCACTTCCTACTTCCAGATATATCTCAAGCCCTCCCACTTCTCTCCACCCCGACTGCCACCCTCCTGGTCCCAACTGTGACCGTCTGGGGCCTGAACCACTGCCAGCAGGCTCTGAGCTTCCGCTTCTGTTCCCTGCAGTCTGTTCTCCACCCGAAGACAAGAGTGGCTTTGAAAACCACTCTGCTTAAAATCCTTCAGGGACTCCCGGAGCAGATGTGGTGGGTGCCCTGCTCATATCCCCTCGGCACCCACCATTTCTGGGCACGTGGACCTGATGGCTTCCAACAGCAGCACCTAAGACACTTAGCCTGAGGGCCTGCTCTGGCCATTTACAGGGAGGCTAGAAGTGCCAGGCGTCGGCGCCCCTCCCTCCTGCTGGAGGCTCCCTCAACCAATGACTGTGACAGCTGGTGGATAAATACCCCGGATCCCTCACCCCTTCTTTAGAATTAGGTTGAGTGGGGACTTGGGCCCTCTTGCCCCAATGGTAATCTATTTAACGATGCAATCTCTATTTGCTTTCTTCCTTGGCCTTCCCGTCTCCTCTACAGTGCTTCCTGAGGTCACTCCCCAAATAGATGATTTGCTCTCACATCTTTGTCTCAGGGTCTGCTGTTGGACGAGGTCATCACGAGGATGTGACCACTGGTTGACCCCCGAACTGGACCTGGGCAATCAGAAGCGCCTCATCTCATTCCCACAGTGGGAACCGTTTTCAAGGACACAGCTTGAGAGAGCAAGGTGCTGTTGAGAGCATCTGGACGGTGTACGTGACTGAACCCTCTTTGTCCTCTCCGTGGGCCTGGAGTACATTATAGCACACACGGAACCCCTTAAAATTCACCCGGCGAGGCTTAAATGACAGCCAACAAAGCCTGTGCTTCCTGAACACCACGATGTCTCTAATGAGAAAAGCTGTCTTCCGCCATAAGATGACCTTGAACACTATTACCGCCTTGCAAGGAGGCGCCTGTGTCGTTATCCACACTGTGTTGTGTATTCAGACCTGGTGAGTTTGCTAATGTAGCATCTTTGTTAAATCACATGAGGACACCAGTAAACAGCCAGAGTATCCGTCCTGAGCTTAGAGGACTCAGTAAATCAGTGGTTCAAATCAGGGGGCTTTTGGTGAAAAAAATTGTAACTTATTTTGGAAATATCTTCATCTGTTTTCTCTCTCATGTGCCTCTCTTGCTGCTGTGGTATCTGCCTCCACGGCAGCCAGACAGGCACCAAATGAGCCACCTCCAAATGAATAAAACCCCTTGCTGACCGCTCAGGGCACATCGCAGACACGGGGGCGTGTCACGAGGGGTGGAGCGTTGGAGGAGGTAATTGAGAGGACGTGACCTCTGGTGGACCAGTGAGCTGGAGCTGAGCAATCGGAGGCTCCTCGTCCCGGTCCCTGCCCTCGGGATGCACATTCTGCCCACTGTTCCCACGGTGGGAGCCATTTCCAAGGACGCAGCCTGGAGAGAGCGATGTGTGGCTGAGACCATCTGGACGGCATCCTCGAGGGGCCCTGTAAAGGCTTCTAGATAAAGTGTTAAGACTCTGGCGGGCGGGGTGGCGGTCTCCTCGGCTTGCGGCCCCCCAAGACAAGCCTCGGATGTAAGTTCCCTTGCTTATTAAACCTGCCACGTACAGTCTGGAGTGGTCTGCCTCTTTCTTCAGTCTCTCCTGGCTTTCCATCCGGGGCTCAGTTTACAAACCAACATCTGCTCAGGGGAACCCAAATTAGGACACGCGCCACTGCGTTTAAGATAACATCCCCGCCCCTCATCTGGCCTACAGCGCAGGTGTAGTGGGGCCCCATCAGGGACGTCGAGCGTCCTGCGGTCCTCCAGTGCTCTGGTCTCCTGCCTCCTCCTCACACTGAGACGCTGTGGCCGCGGGGCCTCCCCACGGGCTCTTCTGTCCTCCTGGTTGCATCTATGGGCCATTTCCCCAGAAGAGACTTCTCTCACCCTGCAATCTGAGTTCAGCACCCCTTGTCATCCCCTCTGCCAGCTCCCTGTCCTTTGCCTTCCCCGCGTGGATCACCATTTGTGATGATCTGTTTATGTCTGCTTATTTGTTTAATGCCTGCATTCCTTCCAGGTTCGCGTCTCCTTGAGGATAAGCACGTCTGTCTCACTCACTGCCGTTTGCTCAGAGCCCGGTTCCCAGAGGCGCTCAACACACGTTCATTAAATGAATGAATGAAGTGTTATTATTATCCCCACTTCACAGATGAGCAAGCTGACATTCAGAGTGGCTGAATCATGTGCTCAAGGTCACACATTTGGAAAGTGAAAGGGTCTGGATCCAAACCCAGCACTTTCGGGCTTTTGGGTAAATGTCTAGGAGTGGAATTGCTGAGTCATATGGTAAGTGTATCTTTATCCTTAAAAGGGGCTACAAACTGTCTTCCAAAGTTATTGTACCATTTTGCATTCCCACCAGCAACACAGGAAAGTTCCAATTGCTCCATATCCTTGTCAACGCTTGATGTTGTCAGCCTTATTAATTTTAGCCTTGCCAGTGGGAGTGTCGTGGTATCTCATTGTGGTCTGAATTTGCATTTCACTGATGATTAACGATGTTGAGCATCTTTTCATAGGCTTATTGGCCACTTATATATCTTCTTTTGTGAAGTGTCTTTAAAAAAAAAACACACAAACCTTATTGGCTGGGAAGGTAAATGGCTCAATCAGGGAAAAGGATGGAAGGAAAGTGTGAGATGGGAGAGAAGAAGCCACGTCACTTGGGGGGTGGAGGGAGAGAGGGGAACTGTGAAAATAAACAATTAAAAGTTGAAGGAGGGAGGGGGCTGGCCCCGTGGCGGAGTGGTTAAGTTCGCGCGCTCCGCTGCAGGCGGCCCAGTGTTTCGTTCGTTCGAATCCTGGGTGCGGACATGGCACTGCTCATCAAACCACGCTGAGGCAGCGTCCCACATGCCACAACTAGAAGGACCCACAACGAAGAATATACAACTATGTACCGGGTGGCTTTGGGGAGAAAAAGGAAAAAATAAAATCTTTAAAAAAAAAAAAAAGTTGAAGGAGGGAAAAAAGTAAGAAATATTATAGAAGGAAGCTTTGCCCACTACTCCAGCATTCACCTGACCTGCCACGTGATAAGTACCCACTAAATATTTGTTGAATAAACAACAGCAGCCTTACAATATCTTTATTATTTGTCCAATGAATGCCCTCCTTTCCTTCTCTCCACCCTTCTTTCCTTCGGTATTAGAGAGTGTATCCCGCGTCCCTCGGAACTGGCTGGAGGCAGGAGTAGTGTGGCAGAGCGGGTCAGAGGCAGATGCTGTGGGTTGAATGTGTGTCCCCCCCAGTT